TTCTCCCAGTATCATTTGTTGAAGACTGTCTTTATCCTTACTGAATTGTCTTGGTACCCTTCTCAAAAATCATTTGACCTTATAGGAAAAAGTTTATTTCTGGGCCTCTCTATTCTATTCCATTGGCCTAAAAATCTGACTTGATCCTAGTACAACTTTTTTGATTATTGTAACCTTGCAGTCAGTTTGGTATGAGGGAGCAGGAGTCTTCCTGCTTTGTTGTTTTTTCCAAGGTTGTTTTGTCTCTTTGGGGCCCCTAGAGAGTCCATATAAATTTTAGGATGGATTTTTCTATTTCTGCAAAAAGTTATGTTGCTGTATTTTGATAGGGATTGAATTAAATCTGCAAATTGCTTTGGATAGTATTGACATCTTAACAATATTGTTTTCCAAACCATAAACAACGAACTTATGTCCATTCATTTAAATCTTCCTTAATTTCTGTCAGCAAAATTTTAGTTTTCAGTGTACACGTCTCTCACATCCTTGATTAAGTTAATTACTAAGTATTTTATTCTTTCTGATGCAATTTTAAGTTGAATTGTTTTCAAAATTTCCTTTTTGCATCTTTCATTGTTATGAATGGGAACACAACTGATTTTTGCATATTGATTATATATCTTTAACTCTGCTGAATATAGGTATTGGTTCTAATTGGGTGTGTGTGTATGTGAGAGAGAGAGAGAGAGAGAGAGAGTGTGTGTGTGTGTGTGTGTGTGTGTGTGTAGAATTGTTAGGTTTTCTACAAATAAGATCAAGACAAACAGATAAATTTACTTCTCCCTTCCTAATTTAGAAACCTTTTATTTCTTTTTCCTGCCTAATGTTTTGGCTACAATTTCTAATAGTATGTTTAATGAAAGTAGCAAAAGTGTGCATCCTGCTCTTATTCTTACTTTGGAGCAAAAGTTTTGTCTCTCACCATTATGATGTTAACTGTATGTTTTTAAATATAAGCCTTAATTATGTTAAGGCAGTTTCCTTCTATTCCCAGTTTATTGAGTTTCATTAATATGAAAACATGCTGAATTTTGTAAAATGCTTTTTCTGTATGTGGTATATTTCATTGATTGCTTTTCATATGTTGAAACCATCTTTGCATTCTAGGGATATATTTCACTTGCTCATGGTATATATTCCTTTTAATAAACTGCTGAATTTGTTTTGCTAGCATTTTGTTGAAGATTTTTACATCAATGTTCATAAAGGATACTGGTCTATAGTTTTCTTGCAGTTCTTTGTTGGGCTTTGGTATCAAGGCAATGCTGATCCCATAGAATTAGTTAGGAAGTATTTCCTTTTTTTCCCGTTTTTTGGAAGAGTCTGAGAAGGACTGGTGACTGTTTTCCTTTAAATGTGTGGTATAGTTCTCCAGTGAAGCCATCTAGTACAGTCATTTTATTTTAGGTTAAGTTTTTGATTACTGAATCAATCTCATTATTAATTACAGATCTATATGGATTTTCTATTTTTTTTTTTCTGATTCTATCTGAGTAGGTTTTGTGTTTGTAGGAATTTTTCCATTTTATCTAGGGTATCCAATTTATTGACATACAGTTGTTCATGATATTCTCTTATAGTCCTTTTTATCTCTATAGAGTTGGCTGTAATGTCCTCATTTTTGTTTCTGAATTTAGTAATTTGAGTCCATCTCCTTTTTTTCTTGGTCAATATAGCTAAAAATTTCAGTTTTGTTGATTCTCAAAGAGTCAATATTTAAACTGATTTTTCTTTATTATTGCTCCATTTCTATTTTATTTCTTTCTGCCTTAATCTTTATTTTCTTCCATCTGCTAGCTTTGGATTTAATTTGTTCTTTTGTCAAGTTCCTTAAATTTTAATGTTATGTAGTTGTTTCTGAGATCCTTTTTTTTTTTTTTTTTAAAGCTTTTATTTATTTGTTAGAGAGAGAGCGAGCAAGTGAGCACAAGCAAGGGGGAGTGACAGGCAGAGCGAGAAGCAGGCTCCCCACTGAGCAAGGAGCCCAGTGCGGGATTCAATCCCAGGACTCTGGGATCATGACCTGCCCCAAAGGCAGATGCTTAACCAACTGAACCACCCAAGCAACTCATGAGATTTTTTTTTTAATGTAAAAAACAAGGGTTTTCTTTCTTAACCCATTTACAGCTATAACATTCCCTGTTAGCATTGCTTTCTGTGAATCACTTAAATTTGGTAGAAGACACAAAGCCAGAAGACAGTGGAAAAATATTTTTTAAAGTGCTGAAAGAAAATAACTGCCAATCCAGAATTCTGTATCTAGTGAAAATATCCTTTAGGAACGAAGGTAAAATGAAGATATTTCCAGAAGAAGGAAAGTTATTAGAAGGTTATGTCAGCATACTTGCTCTCAGCCAATAACAGCACAACAGTGATCAACACTTAAATAAGACTTATGAATTAGTTGTTGTTCTAAGCAATTTATATGAATTCACCTAAACCAAAAATGTTAGTACTATCAACATCCTCATATGTAGATGAGGAAAAAAATCCCTCAAAAATGTTAAGTAGCTAGTAAACAGTAGAGCCAGAATGGAACCAAGCAGTCTGGCTTCAGAGAAGATGGTCTTAAGTATTACTTGATACTATCTTGTAACTGACTTGCACAAAAAAAACTGGAGGATATTTCATCACACAGATGAAAACCATTTTAAACAGATTTAGTAATTTAAAAAGATATTTTTATTTAATTCTACTGTCTAGAGATAAAAATAGGAAGGCAAGGTAACAATTTTGATATATTACTTTGAAAAAAATTCTATAGAATTAGGATGAAACACTGATTTATCAACAGTAATTAAAACAATAAACATTTTTTGAGTTCTTACGTGTCAATTGTTTTGGAATCTGAGGATATAAAAATGAATAAGAGAAAAGTTCCTGTTCTGAGGGATTTCATACAAATTAGGCGATACAAATAAGTACATAATTACAAATATAGCATGTGCTATAATAGAAGCATGTACAAAGCCCAAAGTACATACAAGGTGAAAATGCTGTAGAAAGGAAGCATCGATATAATCATGGCTGTTTTAAAACGATAATTTTTAAAAAGACCTAGAAAATGTTCACAAAAAAATGAACATTTGGGAAAATATTCCAATTTCTTATGCATAACTCACATAGACTACTCTCTCTGTTTTAAATTTGTAAATAAACTCTGAGTTTAGTCAGCAATGAACAGAAAAAAAAAGCCAAAAGAATCTGTTACCATGTTGTATATTTACTTTAATTTTCAAAGCCTTCAGCATAAAGATGATGGACTTATTCCAAAGTACTTAGAATCAACTCCTGCTGATTAATTTTCCATTCACTCAGCAGTCCAGTCCTCAGCGATTATGTGGATTCAGAAGGGAGAAGAGGAATTAATCCAGGAAAATCTTTCAAGAAAACAAAAAGTGCGGCTCCTGGGTGGCTCAGTGGGTTAAAGAAAACAAAAAGTGCTATTTCTATACTGGATCAAGAAAGCTCTAAAGAGTTACTTTAACAGCTGCAAAGAATGATTTCTCCAGCTAAACTGTGGGATCCTTAAGATGAGGACCATGTCTTAATTTTCTTTCTATCCTTAGTATCCCTGATGGTTAATATGGGGCCTAGCAAACAGAGTATTATTACGTTTGCTGAATTAGATTTTTATTACAAAAAGAGAAGTTCAATTTTTTCTTGACTATATCCTTGCATGCCAAGAAAGAGTTCTTTTATGTTCAAAGGCAGTACTTAATTCCATAGAGAAAAGGGATCAAATGTGACCCTTGACCTCAGAAGTATAGGTAATATTAGTTAAAAAAAAGAGAAGCATAGGGGCATCTGAGTAGAGCAGTCGACTGAGTGTCTGACTCTTACTCTTGGCTCAGATGTGATCTCAGGGTCATGAGATCAAGCCCCACGTTGGGCTCTGTGATCAGCATGGAGTCTGCTTGTGTTTCTCTCTCCTTCTTTCTGTGCCCTTCCCCACTATACTCTCTGGAAAAAAAAATAAATAAATCTTACAAAAAAAAAAAAATAAAGAACAGCATGAAAGAATCAATGTAAGTTATTTAAAGATCAGCATGGACTTTTAAATTTAAAATTTCTACATGCTATTGTAATTCATTTTTGCTCTTACTTAAATTAAATGTTATAGTACCTGTAATAGCAAAAAGAATATAGTAACTAATGACCAATTCACATTTTCCTGTAGTTGTGCTTCAAGTGTCTGCTATTAATGGGATATAAACCCTGTCTAAGTAACAGAAAAGGCATTATGATTCATATTCCATGTGTTATGTAGATATACTTAGTTTTGTATTCATATTGCACACAGGATGAATAAATGGTTATATGTAATGATTATGAAACCATGCAATTATAAAGTTGCTGTGTATTTTTAGCTTGCTCTGAGATCCACTATTATTCAGTGGTCATTAAATCAACAAATTCTCACTGAGTTGATAGGTCTGTCTTTAATTTAAATGATGTATGTTGTCATCATTAAAGGAGATTTTAATCTAACAGTTAGTAAAACAATAACATCACACAGGGAATGGATGTCAACATCTATGTCAATAAAGGCATAGTGTTAAATATACTAACATAATATACTACCAATATATTATTAATCCAGCTTCTTTTTATGACCATACATGAATATGCCTATTTACAAATTCCTAACATGAGAATAACTTATTGAAAAAAAACCTCTACTGTTTTGTTTTATTAAATTAGCATTTGATGACAATTAATGAATGTTAACTGATGATTATAAATAATCACACACAAAAATAATTTTACATCTTAGTAAACTGGACTCTTTGGGTTAGGACTGACACCTTTTAGCAAATTATAATATTTTCTAAAAGTTTAAACATAATATGTAAAAAAAAAACTTGAAGGAAAATGGTCAAGATTTACCTAGACAGGATACTAAGACTCTTAACTCTGGGGAAAAAAAGGGAGCAAATTTAGGTGTTATTAACTGAAGTTTCTTGTGTTCATCAGTCTACTGTAGTGATTAGTGGTATGGAATTAATTTTCTTTGCAACATGTTAATGACTTTCTTACCTAGAGAGCATGCCCAGAGGTGTAACATTAAGTGATCCCATCAGCATTGCCAGGGCCATCCCTGGCGCTTCCCGTTCTATTACTTCTTTTGTGGCCTGAAATTAAAGATTAAATAGCAGACTGAGTGAAAGTAGCCAAAAAGAAGGAAGGCAGAGTAGTAAAATTAACTTAAAAATAATTATAAATCGTGCTTCCTATAGACCATACTTTGTAGTTCCCCAAACATTGTTTTTAAGATATCAAGACTCAGTTCTTTGGGACCAGTGAATAAAAGCTGAGAACCAGGATATCCAGGGAACTTTATATATTAGCAGACCCTTCTTATCTCTTATAACTCGGAGGTTTTTGATGTTAAGTCTCATCTAATAACCTAAATTTTAAGATGTAGCCTTAGATTGCTATAATAGCTCAACTGATTTTCATAGAGCAAGAAATAGGGTACTTTTTGACCATTACCTATGAAATAATTAATCCCTAAAACCTGAGATCATTTTGTGTCTCTCCCATCTCTATGATTTTATGATATAATCATTAAAGCGAACTCAGGAAGTCACCATGTCAACTTTCTCATGTATTGGGTAGAAGAAAACTCAATTTACCATCTTCTATATTTTCAATACAAATTACATATCTTATTATATTAAAAAAGAATCAACGAAGTGATAGGCTTTCACTATACAACATAAGTTTTAAGATAGGGCGTTCTCAAGACAAGTGTGGTTAAACCTGAAATAAGAGAATGAAGACAGGAAAATTTAATTTTCTAAAGGTCAATCAAAATAGGTATATATTTATATTGTGATGCTTTAGGCTAAAAGTTATGCATGAAATACATGATCGAATCCATTCCTAATTCTCTATTACTATAGATGTTAACAGGTTACAATAACTGGGAGCAATATAGGAAGAAAGCTTGCAAAATAAACTATTCCAGTAAGTAAGAAGAAAGATAAATGAAATAAAAGGCAAATTATGGACGAATATAGAGAAAGGTTGATTTTTTAAGTATTTTATTAGAAGTAGTAGGATAGTATTAAATAAGATTGTAGTGCTGGGCAAAATTTAGGTTAAGGACTTGGCAAAGTAAAACACATCAAGTATGTGTTAGATGCTGGTCAATCTTATAAATTTTTAAGATGCATATAAATTAATTATTAATACCTTATAATTATATAGAATAAAGAATTACCAGAATTAATGTGATCTATTGGTCCACTGAATCCCAGCATAATGCAGAATTTAACAATGGCAGAAATTCTAAAGAAATACTAACACAGGGAGGGGAGGAATAGAGTGGCTGGGTGATAGACCTTGGGAAGGGTATGTGCTATGGTGAGTGCTGGGAATTGTGTAAGACTGAGGATTCACAGACCTGTACCCCTGAAGCAAGTAATACATTATATGTTAATAAAAATAATTTTTAAAAAGGAAATTTTAACACTACCATTATGATTTTCATTAAAACCTGCCTTAAAAATAGAAAGTTTTTAAATTCTCTAAGAGATTCTTAAATTCCTAAGTTTGGGAGTTAATTCCTTTCATTTAAATATATAGCTAAGAAATGTCAAGCTAGCATTATACAGAACCTATTGTTTTCCAAATTAAAATTATCTGGTATGATTTTGAGGTCTCCTGAGAAGAAACATTATTCCTTTATTACAAACTGCTTTATTGATGTTTATAACTTTTTTAAGAGACTGTAAAATCTTAGCATCTAAAAAAAATCAAGCCTGTAATATTACTGAGAACAATCTTAAAGAATTCTTTCAATAGGGCTTGAAAAAGTCACATAAACAATGTTCAACATTTAGTGAATTTGGGATCACATAAAGATGATGTACTCCAACGTGTATCAGCACACTTTATTTAAGGGCAAATGAAAAAAATATAAAAATAGCTGAGAAGAAGTCTTTGACTTAAATAGATACTTTAAATACCAACATTTAACCATCCGTACAACAAATATTTATTAAGCATCTACTATGTACTAGGTATTATTCTAGGCATTGATGTTACAGTAGTGAATAAAACACACTTCAAAGAGTGTGTAAATTCAATGTCACCTACTACATGAAAAACCCGATTGACAAATTACATATGAAAATTAACTATAAGAGATGCAATTCACTAATTTCTATAGATTCTCTAAAAGACACCATCAGATTTGGTCAGGCCACAGTGGTCTACCTAGAATGCCTTTTCTCACTTTCCAAAGAATTGTTTTACTGTATGCAAGTGGATCCAATAAAACGGTTCAGTGAAACTCGTATTTGTATCGGGAAGTGTTTGAGACCATTATATGGTCTCATACATATAAGACATATATGTCTTATATATATATAAGACATATACCACATTTCTCTGTGATCCTCTTTAGGAAGAGCCATTGGAGAAACTTTCTTAAGTGTCATACCTAGGAATTGGTACTGCTCTGTGCCACCACATTTTTTTTTTTTTTTTTTTTTTGGTCTTTCTAGAAAATTGTAATGCTTGTGAATCAAGTTACCCTTGAAAACGAGACAAGTCTATGGACGCTTTCTAGTACAGAATACAGCTTAATTTCATCTTATTTTTCCTTGCCTTATTTCTCCATATTTATTTTATTAAAAGTTCTGTTGTATTTTGCGTATTTGGGCAAACCATACTAAATATTTTTCAGAGTATTAATGACTGTATGGATGATGGATGGATGGATGAAAAAATGTATTCTTTACACAGAAGTCTTCATCTTTTTCTAAACATAATTTAGGGAGTACAATTAATAATGGTGAACCTTCTAGATAATTTGGGCCTATAGACACAAATTTTCTTTATTTGAGAACATAAAAGGAAAGTATGTACTGTGGTGATGCCATTTAAAAGGCACCAGTGTCCACAGTGGTGAGTGCTGAAGTTGTTTGACTCTTTGTAGGACTAGACACAAATCAACCTCTTTGATAAGATATTCTAAATAATGAATGAAATAATCTTTTTTACATCTACATCAAATATAGCATTTCCATAAAACACCAGAACCCTCCTATTTCCTTTTTAATTTTCTCGTCCTCTAAAGCTGTTTGGTATAACAGAAAGATCACCATATGTGAAGTCAGACAATGCCAGCACACAGTTAAGCTTCATGAGAGCAAGAGCTGGATGGGTTGCAGCACCTAGCACAGTGCCCAACATACATTATGTATACTCAATACATATTTGTTGAATAAAAGGATGAATAAATGAGCCAATATAGGTTTGAATCCCAGTTCTATTACTCAGTTTCTCTGTGAATTAGGACAAAATATTTAACCTCTTGGAGCTTCAGTGTACTTATGAATAAAATGGAGATAATAATAAAACCTACCTACATTTTATGAGAATTAAATCACCTAGCATAGAATAGGCATTCAATACATGTCAATTCTCTTTATGCCTCTTCTTTTCAATTCTCCTTATATCCTTGAAGTTTTGATTATACCAGTTAGAGAACAGGAACAATACAAAAATCCAGAAACCAAACCTAGAAAACAGTGGTTGAGAAGCAAACATGAGGGGAAAGAGAACGGAGAGCAGGAACCTAAATGTAAGCACACTGGCAAGTGGGGAATAGGGAGTAGAATACTGAAATACTGGATCTAAGGCAATAAGCAACCAAATGAAATGCTGGAATTGGAAGATGGACAGGAGGGTAAGAACTGGGTAAAAACATCTATAAGCTATAAATGAAAAAGTACAAGTAGAAGGCAAAAAGCAAGGGAATAAAACTCAATTTAAAATAAAATGAGAAAACCTATCGAAATTCCTAGAAAATAGAAACAGTAGAATAGTTTTAATAAATGTAGCTTTATCTGTGCCTGTTAATGAATAGATGACATGCATTCATTATCAATAGGGTATTTATAATCAATGGTAAAAAAGAATGCCATTAAAAGTCTGAAATTTTTTCTTAATTAGCTTAAAATTGTTGCTAACTTTCTTATACATTATTTACTTATCAAATTCTTTTTTTCCTTGAGGAATAGCAGAAGTTTATATTCCTACTTCATATATAACCTTTTCTGAACCACTAGAGTTCAAAATAATAAGGTTTAATTGGATTTAGAACATTTCATCTTTAACTTCTAAGTACTTTCTAAACTAGGAAAGTTATAAAATACTTTCTAAACTATGAAACTGCCTATGGAAAATCACTTAGTGTGATCTTTTTCTTTTATCAATGACACTTTCCAGGTAACATTAAAGTCCGAAAGTGCCTCAAAGACCGTTCAAATTGCAAAAAAAGTGTGTCATAAACAATGATTTTATAGCCCAGAGAACTTGTCAATGAAATTTAGATCCATTTTAATTTCATAGGAAAACAATCTTAAAAAATGTTATTGCTAACAGGCAATGATATTTAAATGTGTACAAGACACATACTAGCTAAATGTAAATGTGAGAAATTCCTTATACACATGGTGACTTGAAAAACCACTTAGTATAGCACTTTTATTTTTCTAGACATATTTTTGTCAACAGATTATAATCTATATATTAGTATTTATATGCTTGTTACTTGACTATATAAACTTAATAAAATGTCCTAACAATTACTGCACTGCCTTCTACTGATTAAATAATCTTAAACTTTGAAATGCCATCTAATAATGTTACTAATAATGTTATTGATAATATTACTCTATCAAGGTAGGATATGGTTAGAGAAGTGGTTCTCAGTGTTGAGCATGCATCAGAATCTCCTAGATGCCTTGTTAAACACTGACTGCTGGGGCCCACCCAGAGATCAGAGATTTTGATCAGAAAGTGGTTGGGGCCTCAAAATGTACATTTCTAACAAGTTTCCAGGTTGTGCTTGTAATGCTGGTCAAAGGACCACACTATGAAAAGCACATTGCAGATGGAAGGAATGCCACTTATCTAATCTTCATGATTACCTTATATTCAGCTTTGTAAAGTAGACTGAAATAACTGTGAAGAGTCTTTTGTGTGTGTGTGTTGTGTGTGTGTGTAGTCTTTATTAGAGTAAATATAGACTTACTGAGGAGGTAAATTAGATAAAAAATAGGCAGTTTAATGACAGCCTAAATTTTCCTTAATTTATCGATTAAAGGGCAAACCC